CACTCCGACATACATGCATGATTCTAGAAAGTAGGTAATTCGACATTTTTCTATTGTGTGATAGAAGCTTGGTGCCATAGTCCACAGAGCGGGTCGGGAAATGAGAACACTTTTGTTTTTATGTAACGGACTTTAAGATATAAAAGGTTGTTACCCTTTTTATCAGCAATTTTGTTTGGTGTCGTGAGTTTTATTTTATTTGTGTTTTGCCACCCCGTCGGACTCAACTTGTATCGGCCCCGATCCCTGCTGGTCCCGTCTGTCTAAGATCTAAACACAGCGTGGGTAGACAGACCGGAGATCGGTATAGTTGCTTTAGTGACCAGGTATTGGAAGCGAGTCGGGAAAGGCGAGGCTGGTGATCATCTGACCAAGGGTTGGAGCGGCACGCTTGGACCCAGGAGGAGCGACCAGGAGGAGCGACGTCACCGTTGGCGCCGTAACCAAAGGATCCGACACTGGGCCAGGTGTGTAACCGTCACAACTTATCGTAAATATTAATTCACTTCAAGAAATTATATATTTTAAATCAAAGTTTTATTTTTTATTAAATTTTTGAATTTTAAATCAAAATTTGTTTAGCCTGCCTTGCAACAACTCCAACCCACAGAATTAAAAATAACCAAAAATCAGGGAGTTTTTCACATTTCGTAAGTATGGGTGATATTCGAGGTACGCACAAGGAATTTTCACATTTCGTAAGTATGGGTGATATTCGAGGTACGTACAAGGAATTTTCACATTTCGTAAGTATGGGTGATATTCGAGGTACATACAAGGAAATTTCACATTTCGTAAGTATGGGTGATATTCGAGGTACATACAAGGAATTTTCACATTTCGTAAGTATGGGTGATATTCGAGGTACATACAAGGAATTTTCACATTTCGTAAGTATGGGTGATATTCGAGGTATATACAAGGAATTTTCACATTTCGTAAGTATGGGTGATATTCGAGGTACATACAAGGAATTTTCACATTTCGTAAGTATGGGTGATATTCAAGGTACATACAAGGAATTTTCACATTTCGTAAGTATGGGTGATATTCGAGGTACATACAAGGAATTTTTTACAATTTAAAAAAAAAATTTTAATCTGTTTTTGGCTTGTTTGTCGGGATGGGTGGACCTCCTAATTTAAAATCGCACACCCGAGTCGCCCACATTTGGGGCGACCGCAAAGGAGAACCCAACCTTGGTGCAATGGCTTAGCCTCGCTCTGGGACAATTTGGCCTGAATTTTAGTAAATATAAATTATTTTTGTTTTTGGGTAAATTAATATTTTGGGGTGAATTAACGGAAAAGATCCATACCTTTCAAACACATGTATTTCTCTTGTTTGATACAAAAAGGAGGTCATTATTTAACGAAATATTATCAGTAAATAAAATCTATATTGATTTAAGAGAATCCTACATGAAGAAAATAGTTGCCTGTCCGAAAGATGTCTACAGTATGTCGACATAATCAGCAGAGGAAATCTTGCTTCTTTATCTTTAGATTCAAATAGAATTCTTTATTGCAAGGCGCTGGAAGTTAGACAAACAGTAAATCTACACGAAACACATGCATCCTTTGAGTAATGTACTGAGATAGATAAGAACAGTTATTTTTGTGGCCTGACAAGGCCCGTCTTAATATGATGTAGACAATTCTTCCACGTTTCCCAGGTTTATTATTAGGTTGGTGCAAAAATAATGACGTAATAATGTCGTTTTTTGACGTATTTTTAACGTCAAAAAACGACATTAATACGTCATTTTTTTTGCACCAACCTAATAATTTCAGGCTTTTAATAGTTTCCTTATTTTCTGGTCGACGGACACAACTAATTCAAAATATCGAATTCATCACAAAGTTGGAGTTTTTTTCCGAAACATTTTGATTGAGTTAAGGTGGAAAATCAACATTTTGATTATTATTATTAAAATTTTAATTTTATTATTATTAAATTTAAAAGAGATGAAAAAAATAGTTAAATATTCTTCTCGTGCTGATAGATTTTTTTTTACTCCTGTGGCAGTGGAGACTTCAGGGGTTATTGGCCCTCGTTCGATGGCGTTCCTTCGGAGGATTGGCGCGATTGCGTCTCGATAAGGGGACGAGCCTCTTGAAACGGAGTGGCTCTTGCAGCGTGTTTCACTGGCGATGGTTCGAGGTAATGCTTTCTCCATCATTGCAGCTGGCAGAGGATAGAAAAAAATTCTTTATTGTTACGTTGTTCTGGAATTGTCATCAATGGTCAACTGTACTTATTTTGTTTCAATAAATTTTCATTTATATTGTAAAAAAAAAAAAAAATTTCCCTTCGAGTTTTTATGTGTCATCCATATTAGTTAGTGTTAGAAGTCTGTGCGGTTTGCTTTTTTGTTTTTTTTTTATTATTTTTTGGTAAAGCTGTTTGTGATTCTGTAGCGCCAGTTTAACGAGTCTGTTTAAAGATTTTATTTAAGACCAAATAAATTCGCACGAAGCCTTATTTAATCATTGATCTGAGAAAATAGTTGTATAAATCAAGAGAGCCCTCCGAATTTCGATATCTGGCAATTGGAATACGAGATCTGTCTGAAAGGTAACTGGTGTCACAAACAATTTATTTCAATTCCAAACAACAAACTACATGGTTTCCCTTTCAAAGTAATCCATTATGAGTCTAATGCACTTTTCCATCCTTCTCTGCCACGCTTTTATGCACTGCTGGAAGGATTTTTCTTGAATGACTCTCAGCTCCGTCGTTACCGCCCTCTTGATGGTCTCCTCACCTTCAAAACGGATCTCCTTGATGATCTTGAGCTTGAGGAAAGGAAAAAAGCCAAACGGAGCAAGATCAGGTGAATAGGGAGATAATCCAGTACGGCGATGTTCTTCTCGGCCAGTAACTGCCGGATGCTCAGGGCGTTGAGAGCAGGTGTATTGTTGTGATGAAGCAGCCACGATTTGTCCTGCACGTGAAAAAAATGCAACGGTTGCAGAAAGCTAAGATTACAGTTAAATATTCCCAAGATATCACGTTAGATGATAACACAATCCTCTTCTTCTTTTGCCCAGAACTCACCAAACACCGTTATTTTTCAGACATACCTTGTGTAACGTTCTTTTGGGGATAGATGCATCATGCTGGCTGCATTTCCTTTGTATCGTCTTTTATAAGTGATTCTAATTTTATAAAATTTGCTCTTTTTGACTGCTAACCTCCTTAACAATGCTTTACAAACTTGACGGTCGAATCGAAATGACAATCCGAAGAAGATTAAAAACAAAAAAGGAAATAGAACCAAAAATAAGAAAAATACATTCAAAAAGTCTGATAAGGAAAACACCGACTAATTTGAAGATTTCTGTGAATCTATTTGGAAAATCAGTCTATCAGTTATGTGTCATGCGTGATAAACACTTAGGCGATTATATATCTTACGATACGTGACTAACGATGCAGATGTTTCCTGCAGTAGTTTGTCATTTCTTACTGCGGTAGACCAATTGCCATCCAAGGTTATCGAACTCGCTGTGGGGAGAAGAAGAGGATTCATACCTTTCCCAAGGGTATTATAATTGGATTCGACTGGAATTCGAACTCTCCGATTCCATTACTCCACTGTACTTCCAGATAGACTAAAAGATTGCTTAGGCGATCATGTATCTTTTGATACATGACTGACGAGGCAGATTTTTTTTCCCGCAGTAGGTTGACATTTCTTTCTGCGGTAGACCAATTGAGATATCTGAACTTGACGGTCATCCAAGTCTATAGAACCCGGTCTGTCCTGCTATTTTCTCATAGCTTGGGAGAGAAGATGAATTTGACTGAAATTCGAACTCAGCTCTCCGATTCCGCAATCCGAGCTGTTATCCATTACTCCACCGTACTTCCAGATTGATTGAAAGCTTGCTTAGCGATCATGTATCTTTCGATACATGACTGACGAGGCAGATTTTTTTTTCCCGCATTAGGTTGACATTTCTTTCCGCGGTAGACCAGTTGAGATATCTGAACTTGACGGCCATCTAAGGCTATAGAACCGGTCTGTCCTGCTATTTGCCCATAGCTGGAGGGAGAAGATGGATTCGACTCAATTCAGATTCCTCAAACCGAGCCGCTATCCATTGCTTCACCATGTTTGAAAAATAAATGCTTTGTTAAATCAATATTTTTTCTTAATAATTTACTCTTTTATTATTGCACCTAAAAAGACAAGAAACGATTATAATTATATACAAATAGGAAATGCCGATCATTGAACGCTGGAATTTTAAATTTAATTCTCTTTTATTGAACGTTTTTTCGGCTTGTGATTAACGAGGAACCGAGATAGACAAAGTACAAAGAAAAGAAGAATTATGTAAACTCTAAAAGACTTAAAGGAAGACAAAAACTCGCGCGCACAAATGCTTTTTGTGCGAAGAATTACTTAAAAATCAAAAACAAAACAAAAAACAATAATCCGTGAATTGAGATTGCGTCTTCATTGAAATGGAAAGAGCGGCGTCACTGACATTCCCTGATGTCTGCGGTAAATTTATGATGGATTTATCAAAGTACACGTTTAAAATAATCCTGTATTTTATTTCACATTCACTTGGTGTGTGAACTAGTTACAATGGATAGGGCGCCGAACATAGTGATGGTTAACAAGCTAATTTGGACTAATATCCTCATCCCTAAATTACTATGCCAACAAACCCACGGATCCACTAGGCTATGGTTCCGCGCATTAGCGAGTTCAGTCCCTGGGCCGGGTAGTGCACGTTCAGTGGAAACGGGAGGAGCAATAATTGGGTCAGTACTATGAAGAACAAGACGAGATTTCACTGATGATGATTCGAATTGACCGTCGCCTGAATAAGCCCGGTGGGAAAATGGCAGAAACTTTGTGATAATAGCAATAAAGATCAGGATATTAGTCAAACAGCAAAGAATGGTAACTCCGCATCTTAGAAATGGAAAAGGAAAAATTGTAAAGAAAAAAGAGAAACCAAAAATGAAATATTGACAAATCACGACAAAGAAAAAAAGTGACGACTAGGAAAAGGAAAATGGACAGAACTGGAAAGAAAGAAAGAAAGAAAGAAAGAAAGAAAGAAAGAAAGAAAGAAAGAAAGAAAATATGTAATAAAATATGAACGAACGAAAGAAAGAAAAAAAGAAAGAAAGAAAGAAAGAAAATATGAAATAAAATATGAAGGAAAGAAAGAAAAAAGAAAGAAAATAGGAAAGAAAGAAAATATGAAAGAAAGAAAATATGAAGGAAAGAAAGAAAAAGAATGAAAATAGAAAAGAAAGAAAATATGAAAGAAAAAAAGAAAGAAACTGTAAAATAAAAAAAAAAGATTTTCCTGTTAGAAGTTTGAAAAATTTATCGCTCTGAGCAATTCTTATTAACTTTGAGTCCAACTTTTTTTTTTCAGTACGAAAAAAGTTGTCGTCGTAAATGTTTTCTTTTTGGGTGGGGAGAAAAAATATAATATATGAAAAGAAAAAAGAAAACGCTGACTTATCGACACTCAAAAACAGGAAGAATGAGAAAAATAACATACACGGCAACAAGCAAAAGATTGGAGGAAGAAAAAAACAAAGATAAATCGTTGAAACAACTGCTTAGGTTATTTATAAGGAAACTGAAGTCGAGAAAGAGTCGGGTTGTTGAAAAGAATAAACGGGTTGAAATTTATAGGTAAACAGATAAAAAAAAAGCAGTACTGCTTAGACGGATCAATATTTAAATAAATAAACATCAAAGACTGTCATTTTTTTTTTTAATGCGCGGTGAACAAATATAACAAATAATAATGGCGGACGAAAGAAGGTGATGATTCTCGTGAGCTCATCTTCCACAGACCATACTTGCAGAGGCGAGCCTAGAGATTGTGTCCCCCTGCGCAATCGTGGGATTTACTGCATCTCTAAACAATATTTCAAAATTGGACAACATTTACAAAATATGAAAAAAAGATTAAAATTACAGCAATTTATTTTGTTTTGTCCGCCGGAAAATTATCTAAAAATCTATTAAAAAATAAACAGCAGAAAAATCAAAAAACAATTAAAAAATGTAAAAACGTATTTAAAACTTAATTAGAAAATAAAAGCGTCTTTAATAAATAATAATTTCTACAATAAAATTTGATTACATTAACAATATAGGCGCTATGAAAAAAAAAACCCTCAAATTAACCTTACTTTAACTCTTAAAGTAAATGTGCAACATATTTTTTGTATGTCGTGTCCCTTCAGAACGTGGGTGATCATAGCTCTCCAAAAGGGACAAACGTTGCTAAAGTCTACTTGTGATAGGTGATTGAGGAGAGCCATGATCACCTACGTCTTGAAGGTCGTCGTTTTATATATATATATATATATATATATATATATATATATATATATATATATATATATAAGTAAGGAAAGGATTTATTATCGAACTGTTTTTTAGAACTGTTCCATCGTTTTTGAAATCATTTTTGATTTGCTTTGTAACGTGAAGGACTTCAAGCTTGTATGAAGATATAAGAACCTATTGATCTCTACGTATTCCTATATCAACGGAAGGGATTTCTTGAACTATTTATATAAAATAGTTCAATTGACTTTTTTAATATTTGGAAATCATCTTCGCATACGTTTTCACAACATCGCCCACGTGACGACAACGTGATCATATTTAAAACGGAACGCTGATCTTATATAAAAATTTCAGTTACCTGTTTGGATTAGTTGTGCTCTTATGTCCATCGTCTTTTGTGTTAAATTTTTATGTTCTAATGTTAATTATGTTTAAATGAAAATGTCCATGAAGATGGTCTTAAATAGACCGAAACGTCCGACGTCGACTTTATATTAACATTAATACAGCATAATTGCATATTAAGATTTTTGTTTGTTTTTTTTCTGTATTTTTCTTCATACTGTCGGATCTATATCCATATATTTGTTTTTATATATATATATATATATATATATATATATATATATATATATATATATATATATATATATAGATGACGACCTTCAGGATGCGGGTAACCTTGTAGCCTGTTGTAACCTAGGAACAGAGGAATAAGGAATAACCAAGACGGAGGTTGGAAATGAAATGGTAATCTTTATAACATCAACAAAATACAATACTCGCCAGCGTCATGAAGTAGGTAAACCACTGCTAGTGATGGACTACATAGACATCATATTACTCCCACTTACAATAGTGTCCAACGTATTTATGAGGATTGGGACGTACCCATTAGTTTTCATAGGTAAGGTCTATAACATAGCCCTTAGTAGCGGCTGTTCTTATGGAAAGCTTCCAACTCCTTTATTTCTCTTGGCCTCGATATGTCTTGTGAGAGTTAAATTCTCTAAGTACTCTTTCCTCATTATGTGCCTATGAAAAGTTAGTTGTCTCTTTCTGATTCTAAGTGTCCTTTTTATTTCCATTTTCTCTCAAACTTCGTCATATTTTGGCTCATATCTAAAAATATTGAATACCAAAAAGAATTTAACTCAATTCTTCTGTACGCCTTGTCTTTATTGGCAATCATGGCCATCCACATTTCACTGTCCTTTGTAGCTCTTAATGAATTTTCTCTTTTTGCTATCTCTCCTAAACCCTGCCCTGCTATGCTTTCATACAAGTTCATTAGGTAGGTTATGCACTGTTTTTCACTGTCCAACTTGGCTTCAATATGCCCCATGAGTGTTAAATTTTCCAAGCCCACTTTTCTCATTATTTCCCTTATAAATTTCAATTGTTTCTTTCTTATTCTCATTGTGCATTATGTTTCCATTTTTTTCTAAAACTTCGTCATAATTTGGCTCAGATCTAAAAGTGTAGAATACTCCAAAAGAATCTGACTCAATTTTTTTTTTGCGTCGAGTCCCTTTAGGACTTTGGCGATCCACAATTTTCAGTCTTTTGTAACTATTAGTAAATTTCTCTCTCTCTCTCTCTCTCTCTCTCTCTCTCTCTCTCTCTCTCTCTCTCTCTAAAAAAAAAAGAAACTTTTTTTCTAACCATTTAGATACGCTCCTTAAGTGGGTTATGAGCTGTTTTCCTTTGTCCTACTTGACTTCAATATGTCCTGTAAGTGTCAAGTCTTCCAAGCCATCTTTTCTCATTATATCCCTTATAAATTTCTACTATCTCTTTTTGATTCTAAGTGTCCCTTTTGTTTCCATTTACGTTAAAACTTTTTCGTTGCTTATTCGCCCGTCCATAGTATTCTCAGCATCCTTCTGTAGAATTACATTTCAATTTTCTCTTCATTTGTGAAGAGATTGACTCAAATTCACTGCCATGCATCACTTAGATATAAATGGAATTTCGGAATAGGTAACACAAGTGGAACGAAACTGAAAACCTTCCTACTAATTTTGCATGTTACGTCCTTATCCTAATCCACCTAAAATATCCTAATCCACCTAAATATCCTAATCTACCTAAATATCCTAATCCACCTAAATATCCTAATCCACTAAAATATCCTAATCCACCTAAATATCCTAATCTACCAAAATATCCTAATCCACCTAAATATCCTAATCTACCAAAGTATCCTAATCCACCTAAATATCCTAATCTACCAAAATATCCTAATCCACCTAAATAACGTCTCCAGAACTCGTTGCCCGGAGCGGACCGACCTTCCGGGAAAAGCAAAAATTAATGATGTGAAAATTACATTTAGGAATTTAAATGGTTTAGGAATATCTCCCATAATTTTATCTGTATTGATTTGATTACAGCATTTTGACCGAACTGTTCACCAACCCTTTGCAGGTGATGGTATTTTAACTACAACGAAGAAGAATGCCAATCAACATTTACAACAAAAAATAAGCTTGATCAATGATTATAAGTTTTAACTAAAATATTATAAATCCTCTGAGCGTTAAAAAATGTGTCATTACTGCGACTTGGTAACTAAATTAATGTAAACAGTCAAGGATTTTGGTTAGTCAGTCCCTCCTTCTCGCTTTTCTTTACTGCTTTTGTAGGAGTTGCTGTAGTTTGCTTTCTGTATCTACTATCAACACTGTGTCACCTATTAAGACTGTAGCCGCCAATAATTAATCCTGGAAGGACTTCAAATTTTTTCAGGGTCGCTTCACTTTAATGGTTGAATAAATCCGGTGAGAAGACAGATTCTTGTCTTATACTTCATTCAGATTTTATGTATTTGATGTATTTATTTTCTATCCATATGCAGGCGGTTTTTTTCCCTACATAACTTAAACATTCTTGTAAGTGTAGGGGGAGAGGGGGGAAATGATGGTATTATTATTATTATTATTTTTATTTTATTTCCTCTGATTTCTGGTGTGTCCTCATTTGTTTACGGGTCCCGACCAGAGACTTAAAGTCAGAAATGTCACCATGACATTTTCGACTGCGCAATTTAAAAACAAAGGTCCGACATACTTTACATAGATAAAGCCCTTCATAAGGTGTGGGCTGTACTCGTGAGAAGGATTTTTTGTTTTTAATAATGATAATAAGAAGAATCAGAATACGATTGATCATCTTGTATCAGGTTGCACGATATTGGCACCCACTGAATATAAAACCCAGCATGGAAGAGTGGGCCAATATCTACACTGGAAAATCTGCAACTTCTACGGGAAGGAAACTGAAAGAAACTGGTATAAACACCACCCAGACCCGGTTACGAAGATAGGACCTGTTACAATTCTATGGGACTACACAATACACACTGACAGAACAATCAAGGCCAACCGGGCAGATATTGTTATTAAAGACCACAAACAAAAACGGTGCCTCCTTATTGATATGGCAGTCCCTGCTGACTGCAATGTATCTTTGAAGATATTCAAAAGTTGTCAAAGTACAAGGACCTTGAAATAGAAATCTCGAAAATGTGGCATATGGGAACATCAACAATCCCTGTTGTAGTTGGAGCCCTAGGACTGGTTGGGAAAAGATTGCAGTAGACTAATTGAAGGGATTCATGGAAGTCCATGTCTCAAGGAGATACAAAAATTGTTCTGACAAGTACAGCCAACACCTTACGAAGGGCTTTATCTATGTAATTTAATTTTTTTTTTTTTTTTTGTCAGTGGAAAGTGTCATGACGCCATTTCTAACCTTAGGTCCCAAGGGACCCGGAAAGAAAATGTAAACGCCAGAAATAAAAAAAAAATAATAATAATAATAATAATAATAATAATAATAATAATAATAATAATAATAATAAGAAGAAGAAGAAGAAGAAGAAGAAGAAGAGGCAAATATACGAACACCATAGTACAGTGTATACTGGACATCAGGTAGGTTGGTCACTGCCTTCTCTTATCATTCTTCGCCTCTATATACTCTGATTCTAAATATTCTTTTTGTTACCATTTTCCTTAAGACTTCCTCGTAGGCTATCGAAAGATGCCTTCCAAAAGCTATGCAAAGTATTAGGAAGTAATGAAATGTCGTTAGAAACAAACAAAAAAAAAAAAATAGCAGTTATCTTCTTTGTTGTGTCTATACTTCTATATGGCAATGAATACTGGACAATTTTATTACAGATGAAGCAGTGTAACGAAGCGACAGAGATGTGCTTCTACACGAGAATTGTTATACTATCAATTGTAAGAAGACTGGCTGTATAACTATTAGCAAGATAAACAGCCCATGATGCGAGCTACAAATTAGAAAGCGTATTAACAGAGCACAGAAAATGTAACACTGAAATCTGAAGGTGCATTGTGATAGCGAAAGATACCTTCCAAAGCTAAGAAAAATATTAAGAAACAGGAAATATTCATTTATAAAATACTGAAATGATACGTAATGTCAGTCCACGTATATAGCAGTGAATTCTGGACAATCTCCTCACCGGAAATGTTCCCATATTCTTTCACACTTAGTAACCCTTTGCGTCTTAGTGGCTATATTGCCTTGTTTGTGTGGAATTTATTTGGTAAATCAAGTTCTCTGGCTAGATTATCTATCTTTTCGCGTCCGTTCAATTTAACTCCTTTTAATGTCAGACTATTTTCTTTTCGATTCGTTCCTATAAAACTCTATTGATGTTACCAGATATTCGTTTCCCTTTTCACATGTCCTTTGTGAAACCATGTTTATGTTTCTTCTGTTATTCATTTAGTCTCTATGGCATTTTCTTTCTTTTTTTTTTAATTTTTGGCTTCTAGTATATAATTTTTCACGCCCTGCTTTTGTGATTTTGTCAGGTTTTTTTTTTTGTTTTTTTTTTTGTTGCTCTGTCTGGCTGTCACAATCAATCTCTGCCACGTGTAGCCCGAGAGCTATTACAATTATTGTTGTTAGTGTTACATTATTAGGCTGAATAATGCGGCATCAGAATCAAAATAAAATTAATGATAATATGAAAAATAACTTTGTCTCTTCCAAACTCTAGCAAAGTGCAATATGATATACTATTTATTTGACCAGAAAGTATGTCTTATTTTTATCGTTTGATGGTTTCAGTACTTTTTTTTTTTTTAGTTGTTCATTACATTCATTCAAAAAGATCGTTTTTGATTTTATTGTGACAGCTGTCATATTATTGTTTGTTTTTGTTTATCAAAATGGGCGTAGGTTTGTTTGATTTAGTGTGTGGGGAGAAATAAGCATATTAGGCTTTTTCTTTCGTTTTAAATAAAAAGTAAAATCTTAAACAGACGCATAGAAAGATCAGTATAGTTTTCGAAGAAAGTTACCATGGAATAATCAAATCTTTGAGATTTTGTACATAATCGCCGAACGGTTCTCCATGGTTGAGTAAGCCAGTTTTTGATTGATGGCGATGGAATTTTGCATGATATTGCACGAGAATAATCAACATTATATGATGCGTGTCGACTATCTGGAAAGTGTTCTAATAAAATAGGAAAAATTTGTCATCGAAATCCAAAGACATTGGAATATCGAAAGATGGCTTTCAAACATTAAACCAATTTTTTTGAAGAAGAAAAATGAAATAAGTACAATTTAAATATCTGAGAAGTGTTCTAACAGAGGACGGAAAGTGTGACAGAGATCTGAAGACATATTGGAATAGCAAAAGATGCATTCTAAAAGCGAAGCAGAGTATTAAGAGACAGAAAAATGTTGTTAGAAACAAAGAAAACAGTCCTGAACTGTTACGTGATATCTGCCCTCCTTTATGGCAGTGAATGTTGGACAATCTCCTCAAAAATAAAGAAGAGACTTGAAGCAACAGAAATATGGTTCGACAGAAAGATGCTGAGGATACTATGGACCAAACATGAGCAATAACAAGGTTTTGGAGAAAATGGAAACAAAAAAAAGGAAACTTATACTTAACATTAGGAAGAGGCAGTTGAAATTTTGGGGGCATGTAATGAGGAAAGAGGGCCTGGAAAACCTGATACTCACAAGACAGATTGAGGGAAAGAGGACAGAGGAAAACAGTGCGTAAAATACCTGATTGCCTTGATCAAAACGAGGGTTTGGGAGAAATAAAAAAAAAAGACAAAACTTCGTTAGATATAAAGAAACCTGCGCAGAAGTGCTATGCAATATAAATTCTTCTATACGCAAGTGAATCTTCATAAGAGTCCAATATGTCTCCGAGCCCTTGTGGTGACGAATTAGTCTCCTCCCTCTAACCTCTCACTCACAGGCGGGATGTTGCAAGCCTCTAATTGTTCTATCGTTACTTCCGCGGAAAGTGTTCAGACGAACTACATTACTTTATTCCGTCAGTTCAAGTCTTCATGATAAGGAAACGCCATGCCACTTACATTGGTACGAATCACACGCATTCCCTCTGTATTTAGTGGGTGAGAAGTAAGTTCCACTCAAAAAAACTTCTTCCCGGCCGCTTTGTAGAAGCGACTCCCCAGAGGATGTTTTCCCGATCACTATAATCTCAACCTATTCAAATCTAAGGTTAACTGTTATCTTCCTCATCGTATCTTTACAAATTGTCTCTTAACGTAACCCTCAACCACGAGTGCCCCCACCCCCACTGTCGGGATTTGTACAGAGTGAAACTTACTGTAAAAAAAAAATAAATAAATAAATAAAAAAGAATAATGGACAAATTCTTGCACGGATGAAGAGGAAACATTAGCCAACCAAAATGCCGTTTTACAAAAGAATGCTTAGAATATCACAGGCGGAATATGTGAGCAACGAGGAAGGTTTAAGGGGTGTGGGGTCTAAAGGGTCACTTACAATAAAAAAAAGGGGGGGTTGAAATTTTTAGGACCGTAAATGAGGAAAGATGATGGTTGGAGAATTTGAAAATCACAGGGCATATTGAATGCAAAATGGAAAGAGAGAATCATTAAGTAACTAAAAGACTAAAGTACTAAAAGAGTTTGTGTGAATAAATGGTACGACAGGGAGAGATGGTAATGGAATAAACATTGCTTCGTACTAAAACAGAAGGAAGTTGTGAAGAGCCATGATCGCCTACATCCAGGATGACAGGACACATAAAAGGAGGAAAACGTATAAAAATTAAACGTTGAAAATAATTTATACTAGCGTGGTTATGTTAGTCGTTTTGATGTGTGACTTCCATAGTTTCTTTTGTTCATTTATTAAACTTCCAAAATTTTGGATCAAGTCACTGGATTACTTCAATCAACGCTTTTATCCATTGAGCTATGTGTCAGGGACATCCATGTATGCATTTTAGGAGGAACTTATAAACCTAATGGATCAGTAGATAAACGCATTGGTTGAAGTAATCCAGTGACTTGATCCAAAGAGTTATGAGTTCAGTACCTCGCCACAGCAGAGTTGAACAAAAAAAAATCTTAGAGTGTTGAGTTACTAAAAAGAAATAATTGAAACTGAGATATCCAGAAAAGGCATGACACGTGGAACTAGAACAATCTATCCTAGTGGTCGAAATAAAGGGTTCAGTTCAAAATTCGAACGTATATCACCTAAAGAAGGCCGTAGCGTAAAACGGCCAAAACGCTATTAATATGACAATAAAGATGGGGACAATAGTTCAAACAATGTAAACAGTATAAATAGTTACAATATCTTATGTCAGAAATATAGGCAGTCAGGATGGAGGATTGCGTTGACTTTGAATTCAAAGGACTCGAAATGTACACACGACAAAGGAAATATTGTTAACAATAATCAAAATGAACTGCAATGAAGAAAAGCATGAAGACAAACCCAAGTACAGTGGAACCTCGGTTCTCGAACGTCCCACATGTCGAACAAATCGGTTTTCGAACAGAAAATTCGAGATGAAAATGCCTCGGTTATCGAACAAAATTTCGGTTCTCGAACAACATAGCCGAATCGAGTTAACACGAACGGAATAATTTCCGAGTCAATCGCCATGTTGTATACATTCGTTTATTGTGGCGTGCTTTTCTTTTCCAATCTTATTGTGCTGTGACTTTTTTTTTCTCTACATTGATTCCTATTGGAAAAATAGTTTCGGTTTACAAACATTTTGGATTACGAACGGCCTTCAGAAACGAATTAAATTCGTGAGCCGAGGTTCTACTGTACGTTAATATAAAAACGGGAAGAAAACCAATTATATGGACATTTGAGATGACAAACTCGAAGAAGTGATAGATACATCAGCATTGGTATGGCTATGCAGAGGAAACCTAAAATGAGAAACTAAGCTGCTTTTAGCAAAAGCGAAAAACTTATAAAATACAACAATACAAATTTAACAGATAAAATAGAAGAATATAATAAAGAGTAGAGGTTGAATGATGCAATGAAGCCGAATATATTAATTCTTACATGGAATCTGATTTGCTTTTGTTTGGTTTGGTTTGTTTTACGGTATATCAACCTCAATTGGTTATTTAATGCTGACAAGAGTTTTATTGCTGGTAATATCTTTTTTTATCTATCTATCTATCTATCTATCTATCTATCTATCTATCTCAGTATATATTGTTTGGTTTGGTTTGGTTTGGTTTACAGCATATCCGCCTCAATGACTTATCTAATGCCGACAAGATTTTTATTGTTGGTAATATTTTTTCCAAAACTGTATTGCTGGTAATATTTTTTCAAAAATATATTACTGGTAATAATGTATTGCTAGTAATAATTATTTACAAAAATGTATATTATTTTTCCTTCAAAACTGTATTGCTGGTAATATTTTTTTCCTTCAAAAAAGTATTTTTGGTAATATTTTTTTCCTACAAAAATGTATTCCTGGTAATATTTATTTTCTTCAAAAATTCATTGTTGGTAATAATTTTATCCCCCAATATTTATTACTAGTATTAAAATCTATTTTTACACTTTGTCACAACCCCAGAGATAACAATTTTCCCATAGTTGGAACCCCAACAGATGCTACCACCCTGGGCTAGGGAGGACCCGGGAACACTAGCAACCAAGAGGTGCTTCCGCGCGCCTCAAAACTTCCGAATCGCCCAGATACTGGACGTCGTTTATATCGGCTTAACCATGACGCGGGTGTAGTTTATATTCATACCCTGGACGGCACATGAAATCTCATGAGAATATAGTAGGTACATTATTTTCTTATTATAAACCTGCTTGCCCCTCCCCCTTAGTTTCTTAGTTAGCACGTACACAGGTTACGCCCTGCCCATGCATAATAAATAATGGACTATTCCGTTTTAAACACGTGGGAAAACGGGAAAGACTGAGACGTTACTTGTTTTCAATGGGAAAATGAATGAAAAAAGGGAAAATAGACGTGTTTAACAACTGCTTCACTGAAATTAAAAATATTATCAATTTCAAATATTTCCATTTGTACCCCCTTACTTCTCAAAATAACGACCGACATTCATATTTATGATTGTTATTGCAATATATTGTTAAAGTTGTTAAGCTCAGATCTTTATGGGAATTCCTACCGATATCTTATTGTCATAGAACTCGCCATGAGCTCATTCAATCATTAAGAATTAAGATTCATCAGAAAATTAAAACAAAAAAACTGTTAAATTTTCGCGGGTATTTCTGATTATTATTATTATTATTATTATTATTATTATTATTATTATTTTTATTTCCTTTGATTTCTGGCGTTTACACATTTCTTTCTGGGTCCCGCTCAGGGACCTAAGGTTAGAGATGGCATCATGACACTATCCACTGACAAAAAAAAAAAAAAATAAAATAAAATTATGATGAAGACTCGCAATGGCGTATTACTATGGATTTATTCTTACTTAATCTGCGTTATAAATCATCAGTTATTACTGATGAGGAAACTCAATGAGTGAATAATTATAATAATAGTAAAGAAACATGTTTCCATAAAGATACACTGAGAATTATAAGACGAATATGGATTGGAGACGGTTGAATCGTGGTATGGATAAACAAACCCCAGAAGGTGTCATTGAAAATGGTAAATACAAGATATTTGGTATATCATCCTGTGTAACCATAAAATATTGCACAGGAAACTAGACATCGTGGTAGTAGATCAAAAAGAAAGAAATATTCCATGTCTCAGAAACAATAAAGTAGTCGACAAAGATGTAAAACAGGAAAACTATAAATGGGAAGTGTACAAATTAAGGACATCGAAAAGTATGTATGCGACTCCCGTCGTTGGTAGTACTCGAGGTGCAATAAGTACTAAACTTCTTTAATAACTTGAGAAGATTAGGTTCAATGTCAACATTGGACACTTAGGTAATACAGCACATACGGAGTTGCTCGTATACACCTAAGAGTTCTTAAATCATGAAAATGTGACCCATAAGTCTAATACTTGCGGACAGCAGGTACTTTGGTTCCATCTCCAACAAGATTTGCTGTGGTTGCAGTTCTAATAATAATAATAATAATAATAAATTCCATGACGATCTCATAGGCATAGTTCTCATGACTTTTGATCTTAATTGAATGGAAGTGTTAACATGTGCAAGTATTTCTTGGTGAATTATGATAAGATATTTGAGCGGATTTGGTTACCCGACCTGGAGGTATTTCTAAATGAGCCCCACCTACAAAACTGTCACCATATCATACATATTTGGCTGTGATGCATATGCCGTGTATACCCTTATCAGACTAGCTGTCATGATGGGTATATTGGGCTTCGTGTATATATATATATATATATATATATATATATATATATATATATATATATATGAATGTATATGTATATCCCAACGTGACGTGACTTTGTTGTCTTTCAAGAATAATATTAAGAATAATAATCTGGAACTAGTTGAGGAGATCACAACCACATCACGTTGTAACACCGGTTCCCGTATGATCCCCGAAGTTAAACAAGGTCGAGATAGGTGACCCCTGGAAATACCAAGTGCTGTAAACTTGGAATTGCGGTTGATGTAAGGGATAATGACTCGGAACTGTTAATCGGAGAGCGGAGTTCCAATTCTTTTTTGGTTCATTATATTCACTTAGACGAAAATACCTTCGGGAAAAGTATGTATCTACCTCTCTATGGGTTAATTAGTAAGAACATTTCTGTATTAACAAGGATCCCTTCAATGAGTCTATCGGAGCCTTTTTCAATCAAACCGAGGGCTCCAACCATAACTGGAATTATTTTTGTCTTCCTGTGCCACATTTATTATTATTATTATTATTATTATTATTATTATTATTATTATTATTATTTCCTTGGATTTCTGTTGTATACACACTTCCTTCCTCGTCTCATTATTATCTCTATAAAAAACCTTCCAAGGTAAAAATATTTTCTGGCTTTAAATAACCTGCCGAGTTGATAACCAGTAAAAAATGAATCAATCCATCAACTAGTGTGAGACTGAGAACATGGGAGGAGATACACAAAATAAAATCGGTGATAAAAATACCATCTGACAGAATCTGTGCTGGTTATGAAGATAGAAAATGGTAAATGCGTCAAAGATCGTAATTGCTAGAGAGAGTCTTGCAACTTTAATTCAAAGATGTAATTATTATTTTACCAAAAGATTTTAGCAATGAATGCACAATTTGCCAAGGCAATGTCTAAGTCAATTTACACATTTCTGACTTTAGCTCTCAGGTTGAGACCCGGAAGGAAATGAATATAAAACAGAAATCAAAGATAATAATAATAATAATAATAATAATAATAATAATAATAATAATAATAATAATAATATAAAATATATACTATAAAATATATATATATATATATATATATATATATATATATATAAAATGTTCTGTGGAAAATATCATGAAGTCACTTCAAAACTGTTTGTTTGGGATCCGGAAGAAAATGTGTATACAACAGAAATCAAAGGAAATACTACTACTATTACTACTACTACTACTACTACTACTACTAATAATAATAATAATAATAATAAACGAATATAAAATGTATATACTCACAGACATAACAAGATATCGACATATGTGCACTGGAAGATATGCAAGAAGCATAAAATCAAAACCACTGAGAGATGATATGGACACCAACCAGACACAAAATAACGATGTAACTATCCTCTGGGACATGCCAATTCAAACTGACAGGGAAATAAAAGCCAACAGACTTGATATTATCATAAAAGACAAGAAATTCCGGAACTGTATGCTTATTGACATAGCAAAACCATCTGAGAAAAACACCTCCATGAAAATTATCGAGAAATTGTTCAAATGCAAAGACATGGAGATCGAGATTATCAGCATGTAGGGAATGAAGACTGAGACTCTATCAATAGTTATCGGAGCTCTGGGCCTCGTTGGAAAAGGAAAGGACAATTTTATTAACAGTGTCCCAGGCAACATCAACATACAAGTTGCCCAGAAGATCGTCCTAGGAGGAATATCCCATATACCAAGAAAAATGCAATCAATTAAATGACAATTCTCCTATAAGGCATGAGGACCCTAGTTTGGACCTGGCTGTACAGGATACAAAGTAGGAAATATGACATACACGAATGATAATGATAATAAAATGATACGGGAAAAAATATAAAGATCCTGAAAAATTACAGAAAAAAGGTAGAAATCTCAGCACAGCTTTGATAGATTACCGTAAAGCCATTGATAGTGTGCCAAACTCTTGTATACTTAAAGCTTTGGAAATGTACAAAATCTCCACGATTATAGTAAATTTCCTTAAATATAACATGAAACTGTGAAAAACTACATTATACGTAAATCACACCAGAGATACTGCCACTTCAAACTGTTTGAATATCCAACGAGGAATCTTTCAAAGAGATTCCCTGTAGCCTCTTCTATTCTGGTTATCCTTCGTCTCTCTTTTGCATAAACTAAACAGTAATGGATACAAAGTGAAAAAGAAAAACTTTAATCACCTAATCTACAGGGATGATATCAAACTCTTTTCTCACATATTACGAAGAGACTTATCTATGCAAAATGTGTGTGATCTTAGATTTTTTTTTATTTTTATTTTTATTTTATTTTTTTTTACAAAAATGATCAGAGGAAAACGTCAGGAAGCCATTTCTGACCTTAAGTTTCTGGTTGGGACCTGGAAAGAAATGAGAAGACCCCATAAATCAATGGAAATAATAATAATAATAATAATAATAATAATAATAATAATAATAATAAAGTTGTCAAAATACAAGAACCTTGAAATAGAAATCTCGAAAATGTGGCATATGGGAACATCAACAATCCCTGTTGTAGTTGGAGCTCTAGGACTGGTTGGAAAAGATTGCAGTAGACTAATTGAAGGGATTCCTGGAAGTCCATGCCTCAAGGAGATACAAAAAATTGTTCTGTCAAGTCCAGCCCACACTTTACGAAGGGCTTTATCTATGTAATTTTTGTCAGTGGAAAGTGTCATGACGCCATTTCTAACCTTAGGACCCTGGGCGGGACCCGGAAAGAAATTTGTAAACACCAGAAATCAAAGAAAATAAAAATAAAAATAATAATACTAATGTAGTTATTATATCCCCTTAAGACTGAATGTCAGGGTTGATATATTGGGCTTCGTATATCTGTATCCGAGCGTCATTTTCTTAGTGTATTTCTCCACCCCCGTCTCTCTCTCTCTCTCTCTCTCTCTCTCTCTCTCTCTCTTTACAATCAATAATAAAAATGATTATGACGATGTTGATGATGCACTAAAATGAAAAGGAGAAGTCGTTAATATTATAATACTTGTTATGATATTGTGGTGAACCCAGAAGTTTAGAAGAGACTTGTGCAGAATGTGGAGATAAAATCAGTGATTATTAAAATTATAAATGGGATCGATGATAGCATTATAATCATTTCTAGTTTTGGTATCTGTAGTTTCACTGATAGCCAAATGATGAAATTTCCTATCCAAATTGTTTGCCCCTTTCAAATAACACATCTGTCAGAAAAGATATTTAGTTTAAATACAGGTGTCATAAGAATGATTTCAAAGAAGCGCACATTTCTGCTTCTGCAGGAATTCTTGCAAGACGGGAGAATCAGATACAGATGATCATTTCAATTTCATCTAAATTTCAACATATTTTTCGAAAATATATTTAAATCTTTCAAAATCATTCTTTTGTTTCCAAGACATTTGCCTCAAGTTCAGTAACATTAGATAATTATTTGATATTTTTAGGACTTTATTTATTGTCTCCAACTTTATGATTTTTACTACTCAGAATAAGGGAGGGGTTTTCCAGGAAGTTTAGGTGGGAAATGTACTACTCCAATGCCTTATTTTAAACAATGAATTTGTGTGTGTGCTTAATGTCACACGCACAAGTAAGCAATTCACACACAACACAGACATACGCATGTACGTTACATAGTCGTGTCTTAAGGCGAAGCAGACAGTGTTTGACGGACACAGAATCAGCTCTTCTTTTATAGTATAGATTACTATTATTAATAATAATAATAATAATAATAATAATAATAATAATAATAGTGTGCTTAGATGATAAATTATCCCTTCACTGGGACATTAGTTGGCCCGTTTATCTCATCGTAAAGTAATTTGTGCCCTCAAGTCTAATGCAAATACAATAAATCATTTTTAAATGTTCAGTGACACAGACACGGAGATACACAGACAGACAACAGTGACACATGCACGCGCACAAGCACATTGGCTCTCCTCCAAATGCACATACATATATACACACAAATGTTCAGCCACTTACACAAACACCGACATAGCACATACAAAAACACCCCACTTACATTCTCGCCCGCACTTAAAAAACGCACTAGCCAAAAAACGCAACCGTTACTAATCATTTCTACCAATCTGCAATTTCTTCAGCCGTTATTAAATTAAAATCACCATATAAATTAAACAAAGGATTACAATTTTTACCTGTTACATATACAGTCACCAAAAAAACAAACAAATAACCAGCTTTAAATATAACAAATAAACCCCAATAAATAATTTAATAATAATTTTTACCTATCATAATTTTACACAAACCCCACCACACATATATACATACATGGAAAATTTGTAGCAAATATTTTCAAGCATATCTACATTCACATAACGAGACATATCTTCACACACAATGTGTATAACAAAAATAACGGGGACAGACGCGTATGTATATGTATATGTGTCTGCATACATCATAACAAAACACACACTCTCTCTCTCTCTCTCTCTCTCTCTCTCACAAACTCTCTCAAATATATATATATATATATATATATATATATATATATATATATATATATATATATATATATATATATATATATATATATATATATATATATATATATATATATATATATATATATATATATATATATAAACACATACAAAATATATTTGGACATACAAAACATACAAAAATATTTGGACATATACAAGAATACTTTGGCACCTCGCCGTGGTGCAACGGTTAGCAAACATATCTTGCTTGATCAGTTACGACTGAGTAGAGGGTTCGATTCTCACTGAGTTCACCATAATTTCGGCCTTGCACCACATATAAGCTACGCATGGAAAATCGTTGGGCATCTCGGCATGGTGCAATGCTTAGCAAGGATGACACTTTAGCGTGTCCTTCCGATCAGTGTATCCTATCACCACATTTGTATCCTACATTATCTAACGTAAGGTGAAAAGGAAGAAGGGATGCCATTTATTGTTGTATTATAAAACTTTAAATAAAAATAAATTATAAAATAGGAACCTTCACTAAAAAATGATAAAACAAAATATTTAAAATAAAAACATTCTGAATATAAAATGTATAATTATAAAATTATGTTTCAAGCGCTCATATAATAACAGGTTCTGTTGTTACTTTTATATTTACCACCAGTCTTTTAAGATCTTTAGAATTTAAATTTGACTTTCTCTTAGATTTTTTTTTTTATCCAAGTATGGTGACATATTTTCATTGTCGTAGGTTTGGTCACCAAACTACGCAGGATGTAAGCTTTGATTTTCAATGCCCCAAAAATCTTTAAAAAGGGGTCCTTTCCTTAGCTGCATATTATGTGCATTGCCAACGCTACATACATTTTTTAATTCAGAGTTCTCTTTCTCCTTAACCGGTTGCCACCCACGGCTATAGAACCCACTCTGTCCTACTCTTTACCTATAGCTGGGGGGAGAAAAGTTGGATTCATACCTTTTCCCCAGTCTATTTGAATTTTACCTGGCCAAAATGTTGTTTCTATAATAAATGTTTAACGACATCCATTGGATACATCTCTCTCTCTCTCTCTCTCTCTCTCTCTCTCTCTCTATATATATATATATATAATTATTTATTTAAAAATATGATTCCAACACGCTACATTAGAGTTCTCATGTTTCAAAACAAGAGCCGAAAACTTCAATATAATTATTTGAATTAAATTGAATTAAAGTACAAAGCTCTGTTCCATCTTCAAGCGAAATTTTGTTTGGAATAACTTATTTCTGAAATTTACTTTTGCTTATTTAAATTTGCTTATAAAACACGTAAATGGATACAATGTTCTCTGGAACGCTGTGGAGCACCGTCATCGATTTTCTCATAATTTGTTTTCGCGACTCAAATTGTTTCTCTTTCAGTGTGGTTTTCGGATTAATGAAGAGCCAGAAGTCACACGCTACTAATTTGGGTGAATAAGGACCCTGTCGAACAAGTGGTGTATTTTTATTGGCCAAGAAAGTTTGGATTATGTGGGCAGAATGAGCGTGCAATAAAATATAGTCAAATATACTCCAGTATTATTTAGCAAAACGAATCGCTATCTGGGTATCTTCGGGTGCCGATTTTTATATGATATCATAATAACTGCTTCTCCAACAATTTAGAAATGTAATTAATGCAAGACAAAATAATAATAACGTAAAACTTGAATCAAGAATTGACTCTATAACCTGTAATGATTGTCACACGGAATACATAGAAGTAACATCGAGGAATTTAAATAAAAGTGAGTATGAACATAAAAGAGATCATTTACAAAACAACACACTCAATATATTAGCCGCTCACCGTAACAACTCTGGTCATAATTTGATTTTAAAAATGCTAGTTTAATTAAAAGAGAAATCAGTTTACTAAAATGAAAATGTATAGAAAGTGATGTGATTGCTAGATCACCTTCGGTAAATCTGCATCCAGGTTCTTACAACATTTCACCTTTCTTTGCAGATCTTTTATGTTCACAATGTGGGATATTTAATAACAAAAATGTTAAAAAGAAAATCAGCAAAGGCAAACACATAGGGTAACTGAATGGAATCAGTTAGACTGCAAATCCGAATAAAAAAAATTAAATTTCAGGTTTCCTCTCGGTACCTCAAATTTCATTGTTTACTCTTGGTACATAACCGTCACGGACGCTCGTGTTTTTCTATCACTCCTTCCTCCTCCAGCGGGTATAACAATCCTATCAAGATAATCATTACTTTAGTTCAGTGTTTCTTAAACTTTTTAAATAACAGCACACCTCGGCGCAAATGTAAATAGCATGGCACCCTTAGCAAAGTTTTTAAAGATACATTTAAATGTTATCAGATAAAAACCTACTTTTTTTAAATACGCGCACAAATATGAACTTACTTTATTTCAATATTTCGATTCAAGCTATTTCTGCAGCTTATTGAGTGTGAAACTTGTGCCTGGGGTGTTTTTTTTCGCGATTTCTTCAATGCTTGGTCAAATGTGCGAGAAGCAGAGCCACATTTCTTCTTCAATTGAGGGTAGTCTTTCTCGCTTCTTATATTTTGATGTTGTTTCGGATTGCGAAGCCAAATTCACATAAATAAGAAGTAGAAAATTGCAATAAAACTGTTGAAGCCTTTTTATCTAATGTAAGATATTCTTTTTGCATTGAAATCCAAAATGAATCAAATCCAATATGTATGCCATTACAACAATATTTTGCGGCACACTTAAGAGGATCGCGTAGCACACGACGGTTGACAAAAGTGATTTAGTCCAATGAAGCCCAAAAAAACGAAACGCATTTCACATTTTTGAACTTTGTCATTAATTTGACCATTTATACATATATATATATATATATATATATATATATAATTTGACCATTTTATATATATATATATATATATATATATATATATATATATATATATTCTCTCTTTATTACGTTTTGATACGAAACTGCAGATATCAAAAATTTGAAAGATCTATGACAGGAAAAATTTCGCTTGAACGTATGAAATTTGGTCTTGCCTGGACCACTGTTCTTCCTGACCAATCGGTAAGGCGTGACGGGCTAAAGGGTAGCTTTATCTGGTCCTGAGGGACTCATATCCGATTCGATTCCAGGCAGAGACCGCAATTTTTTTTTCTTGAGCATCCAGGCCGGTAGTCGAAAATAAATAAATATACTGTTTAATAAAAAAAACGGAGCGCCTACTCAAATACGTGTACCCACTAAAACAACATTTAAAGTGATATATATATATATATATATATATATATATATATATATATATATAGTTGCCCTTAGCTCCTCCAGAAACATAGAAAGCAGGTAGGCCGTTTAAACAATATTATCTTCCGGCTCCTCATATCACCTGATGCTAAATATGTCGATGGCGGTTGGTAAATAGTATGATAAATATGGAGACAGTATTCAGAAATTTGCTAAGAGGAAGAGGAATTTCAATCGATGAGTGTTTCATTTGGTGTGCGCGGCAGGACTTCATGGTGGATTGTCTTCTTCAGCGGAAGAGGAGACGGTATTGGTGATGGGAGTCGAGGACTGAAATATCCGGCAGACATACAACGACACAGTGTTTGTGTTACTCTTTATATGAACAGAAACAAATAAACAAATTCGTGGATTTTCTAAAGAAAATTAGGTTTACAGCTTTTTGTTGGTGGCGGCATCTTATTGCTGTTGTTCAAGTAGAAAAAAATAAACAAATACCCCCCACCGGAAAAATATAAAAAAATTCTCTTACGACATAAATCGGTTTAGAACCGGATTCTATGATCAGATATCAAGAAAAACAATTCCCAAAATGGAATATTACTGCAACATCTGGGCTCAATCCTCACTTTCCAGCTTTAGAATTCAAAAGCGTCCGTTCTATCTTTGGCTGGCTGGAGACTTATCTCAGAAATATAAACACTAGTTTGAGTGTTTCTCGGGCCTTGTATTAGGTGAAGTTTGAAAATTGCTTCTTCTGATACAGGACAAATAACCACTTAGAATTTATTTACGAAGATTGGTAAGTCTGGCTTTTTGGGCGCATCTGCATGAAGGAATGAATAACAAAAATGTATTACTATATTTACTACTGAATTGAGTAATATATCCTCTCTAGCTGCTCCTTATTTGTGGCCTTGTGTCAAACGACTTTAGTCTTAGTAAGTGACTCTAAAAGACGCAATTAGTTCCTTCTATTTTCTTTATTATGGTTTAATCATCCTCCACATTTCAAAAACCACTGACGTCATTGTTCTAATCTTCAGCCTATATCATCACGACCACGACCGCTCCTATGCCCATTAATAACTGAAAATAATAATAATAATAATAATAATAATAATAATAATAATAATAATAATAATAATCCCAAAATAGATTTGAAATGTTTTGGGTCATTCGGGACGAAGAGTCGGAAAGTTTCTTTTTTCTTCTCTTTAGGGAACGTTTTATTATCCGACAAATCGAGGAGGAGATTCGATAGCCCACAATCAAGAGGGCAGAGTGAACGCCCTTATTATAGTCAGGAACATTTGATAGTCATATCTTTAACGGCGAACAAAGATAGGGGAAATGTCTCCTCCCTCTACAAAAATGAACATTGTTTGCAAAATTCGAGAGAATGGGGACTTTTAGTCGATATCTGAATGGTATTTGCGGACTCAAATGGTATATTTAATGTCCGGCGTCTAGGCTGTGCACGAAAAAGGGGCTTCGAAATATGTCACTGCGACCGGAAATATACTCTTGTCCCGAAATATAAAAAAAAAAAAAAAAAAAAACGGCCGGGTTTTAGATCGGCAGGGACAGAAAAGCAAAAATCCGGGATTGAAAAACAAAATGATGCCAGGCTAATTTATCTGATTGAATTCATTGTTTTGGTTTGTTTAACTGAAACATTTTTTTCAAAGTCTGCGAAATTTTATGTTCTTCCTCATCAGTATTCTTTGTCATCTGAAACTGACTTTCTTTAAAAGATATTACTCATCTTTAATATTTTTTATATCTGCGCCGAAATTTAATTTTTCTTTATTTGTTTTTTTACGGCTTATCAACTCTTTGTGGGTTACTTAAAGCAAAAGGATATTTTTGGAAATGTAACAATAATACTTTTCTTTTCTTTTTGTTTTGGCACGTGATTTACCAGTTATTTTTTAGAATAGTTCCCTTTTACAAATTCTACTATTTAACCTATAGTTGGGGGGATAAAGCTTCATACATTTCTAAAGGGTATTTACGTAACGGACCAGACTGTAATTCAGCTCTACGATTTCTCATTCTGAGCTGTTATATATTATCTCACCCTCACATCGAAACACACATAGAATTTAGTCTACCGTTGTGCGTGAGTTCATATAATGGTTAGTCTTTGTTGGTACACATTCCAGAAATTTCAATCTATAATACTCCCCTTTTGTAGTTTATATTTGAATTGGTTCCCGATCTAGATTCTATAAGTCTCAGTCTTCGATCTTAACCTTTGTTACAACTCAATTTAACAGGCTTTCTAGATTTAGTGAGTGCTTCTTTTGAATGTCCGATTTCTCTATATTTTTAATTTTCATATTTGTGACTTGTGAAGCGACTTTTAACATGTGTTACGTAACATGTCCACTTGAATAGAATAAATATGTTTATGTGCCGAGTTTCTTCAGGACGTAGGTCCTCCACGTCTTCCAGTTCCTTGTAGCCCTTAATAAGTTTTGTCTTTTTGATATTTCTCCCAAACCCCGTTCTACTATCCATTTAATCAGGCTCACCAAGTAAAACATTCTGTTTTCCTCTTTCCGTATTTCCCTTAATCTGTCCTGTGAGTATTAGGTTTGCCAAGCCCTCCTTCTTCATTACGTACCCCAGAAAATTCAACTGCTTCTTCCTAGTGTTAAAAATGTTCTTTTTATTTCCATTTTTTTAAAACCTAGTCATTGCTAACATGTTCGATGTATGGTATCCTCAGCATCCTTCTGTAGGACCACATTTCTGTTGCTTTAAGCTTCTTCTCAGACTGTTCAGCATTCACTGCTATACAGAAAGACAAATATCACGTGACAGTTTAGTACTCTTTGCTTTGTTTCCAACGAACTTTTCCTGTCTCTTAATACTCTGCTTAGCAAGGCATCTTTGGCCATTTCAATCCGTCTTCGGATCTCAGTGTCACACTTTCCATCTTCTATTAAAATACTTCCCAGATGTTTAAATTTTTCTAATTGTTTCATTTTAATTTGTAATTTGCATTTTGGAGTCATCGTTTTGCTAAAAATCATGCATTCTCTCTTGTAGCTTATATTTAGTCCTTTTTTCTCGCTTTCCTTCGTTACTTTCTGTAAGGGTTTTTTAGCTTATTTTTCGTGTTTGCTATCAACACTGCGTCATCTGCATATCTTATGTTGTTAAGATTGGCCACCAGCAACAAATCCCGGCAGGACATTTTATTCTCTCAGAATTGCCTAGATGCAACCATTTTTGTCCCTATTCTGCTATCCTTTTGTTATGTGAGTTACTCGCTGCTTCTCCTCTCTTCTCTTGCCTTCATTATGCCCTGTGAGTGTTACATTCTCTAGGCCTTCTTTCCTCACTGCATATCCCCAAAATTCCAACTATCACTTTCTGATGAAGAGTATAAACTGACATATGTCTCTTATTTTCCTTAAAACTTTCTCGTTTGTCATATATTCTGTCCATAGTTTACATCGCAATCAACCATTCTTTGATTTGTTTCTAAGGAAGTTTTCCTATACCTTAATACTTTTCTTAGTTTCTGAAAGATATGTTTCTCTGTTATTATGACCTTACGATTTTCAGTATCATATTTTCTGTCGTTTGTTACGACACTATCCCTGTTGTTGAATTTCTGGACTGCTTGATACTATTCGGATCACCATTTCTACTCTATTACTATTCAGATCGCTATTCTATACTCTATTGACAATACTGTTTCTCTGTTAAGATTACTATACGAGCGAGTATTATCGAGCAATGTTATTAGTGCGAGATTATTCGAAGGCGTTTGACACCAGCATTGTTCAACGGCGTACTACAGCGATTATAAAGTCTCTACTACAACGAGCATTACGAAAGTGACAATGACTATTCGTTGACATCAGAAAGGTGGCAACGAGTGTTCGTTGACATCACAAAACAACCCTAACACTCGCAAAAATAGGATCCTTCATAGAATTCAAAATAACACAACCCTAAAACTCACATCCAAACATTAAAATTCTCATGGGTGGAATATTTTAAGAGCAACAGGTTTTGATTTGGATTTTCTTTTTTGAAATATCAAAATATAATTTATTTTTAATTAATATCATTATTGGTTTCTATGTCTTGTGAATTTCATTTTCTTCCCTCCGATTACCGACGCCATTTTATTTATCCAGTAGTCGCAATAGTAGTCACAAATTGTTTTCTTCTTTGAGATTAAAGATTTTTTTTCATTAACTTTAGTTTCTGTCATTTTATTTATTTTTTATTTTAGTACAAACCGAAGACAACGTCACTTATTAGGGTCAAAGAATTTCCCCCCTCCTTCTCGGGTTAATATTTTCGTTTTTTCTTCCCTCCTCCACTTTCATCATGTTCTTCTTCCTCTTCTTCTCTCGGTTAATTCTTTCATTATTTTACTTGCTTCTCCTACTTCTTTCTCTTTTTCCTTAATCTTTTCCTTCTATTTTGCGGTTTCACCTTTTTCTCTTCCTTCACTTCTTCTAATTTTCCTACAATTCTTTTCATTTATATCTTCTTCCTCTTCGTTTCATGTTAATTTTTGTATTTCTGAGTTTGCCTTTCTCTTCTTTTTTCTCTTCTTCCTTCTCCTTTTCTTTTTCCTTTATCTAAATGCTGGCTTCACCTCTCTTTTCTTCCTCCTTGTTATTTTTATCTACTTCATTTTCCTTCTTTCTCTTCTACATTCTCCACCTTTTTCTTTTCTTTCTCCTCATTGTATTTTTCATCCTCTTCTTCCTTTTCCTTTGCTTTTGTTTCTCCTTCATTTTTCTTTTTCTTCTTTTTCTTCTTCTTCTTCTTCTTTACTTCTTCTGTTTTCTTCTGTTTTTTCTTCTTTTTCTTCTTTTTTTTTCATTGCCTTCTTTCATTTTTTTTCTTCTTCCTTATATCTTCTTTCTCTATTTCTTTTCCTTTTCTTCTTTGCGTAATATTTTACGTTGTTCGTTTTTCTCTGCGTCTCCCCCCTCTTCCTTGTTCCCTTTCCTCCTCCTCTTCCTCCTCCTCCTTCCTCATTTCTTTTACTCCAATTTCTCGGCGTCGTCTCTCATTTCCTTATCCACTTCTGCTTTTTCTTTTATCTTCTTTGTTGCCTTTATTTCCTTCTCTTCCCCTATTCCTTCTCCTCTTCTTTCTCTCCACTCTCTTTTTCCCCCCTCCTTCTCCCCCTCATTCTTACTGCTTTAGCCTATCTATTCTCTCTTTTATTTCTAATCCACATTTTTCTTCGTTTGAACTCCTTCACGCATCTCTTCGTTTCCCAAGCGCATTGACCCCTCTACCAGCCCTTCCCGATAGCCCTATTCCTATCAGCAAGACCCCCTTCCTGTACCGCGACCAGGGCAGCTCAATCACCGTCTGTCAGTTACATTCAGTTCAAAAATGGAAACACCAGATGTCGCTATAATAGCCAAACACAAAAATCCCCACCTCTCATACCACAAGGCTATCAGGGACGTCTAGTCACGGAGCAGTGGTTAGCCAGATTGTCTTGTTTATCATTGCAACTGGGTAGTGGGTTCGATACTCACTGGCCGCCACATATTCTGACAGCGCCTAATAAATGGCTACATAATCTCTTCTTTGTTTTATTCACGTACATATACATTTGCCCACACAAACATAACGCACACATTAAAAATCTATCCTCACATACACATATATGCATACACGTGCACTAGCTTAAATCCGCATACAAAAACATATATCTACACTCATACATATACACTGAATTCTATCCACATGAGTTGCCCTCAGCTAAGTTTGATAAATATCCCGAAAAAGGATTTTCCTAGCGTAGCTTAGATGTGGCACGAGGCACCCAGTGAGGATTGAACTCACTACTCAGACGTACTTGTTCTAGCAAGACAAGCTTGCTAACCATTACACCGCCTCTAGGTCCCCAAATGTTGATTTTCTAAGCCCGGCTTAGATGTGGTACAAGGCCGATAGTAGGGGGCACCCAGTGAGGGTCGAATTCACTACTCAGTCGTAATTGTTCTAGCAAGACAAGTTTGCTAACCATTACACCATCTCGGGGTGCCCAAATATGCCGACATAAACTTATATATAGGTACCTTTTAAAAATTACTTTTGTTTACGTTTTGGGATACGAAACTGAAGCTAGCAGATATAAATTCGTAGAAGTTCTAACGAGAAACCTACTTTCGTTAAAAAGGTAATTCAAACCTCAGCCTGGCAGGCTAGTCTTCGTGGCCGAATTGGTAAAGGCACACTTTGGCTCAATAAGTGATTTCACTGATGGGAAAAACAGTTGGGAAACTTCGGTGTCAGGGCGTACACGCTGTTTCGGTTGGTTTTTTTTATTACATTTTTAAGGAGCTTCACAAACCTGCTTGGCTATCTTCCTAGAAGAAGGATCTCCCCACACCTGAAAAAAAAAAAACTAAAAAAAAACAAATAAAAAAAACGGAAATTCTAGTAGACTTAATATCATCATTCCATTTAAGTATAATACCCAGTAATAACTCCAACACATTGTATATAAAATGCGGTTTTGGGAAAAGTTCAGAATCAGAGCGTATAAGCTGTTCCGATTGACTTTATTTTTATTACATTTTTAAGGAGCCTCACAAACCCTCTCATGGAGCTTCAAAAAATTTGACTTTTGAGAACTTAATACCAACATCCCAATTGTTGACCAGAAATAATAAGACAATCATTAAACAAAGAGAGTAGAGAGACTGTCTTTAAAATTAATTATAATATTACTTTCATAGTATTAAGGAGTAATGTCGAATAAAAAAAAAAAAAACTTTCAAAAAATTACCTTTGTTTACGTTTCGGAGCATGAAACTGAAGCTAGCAGATATAAATTCGTACAAATCATTACGAGAGATATGCCTTCCTTAAATAGGTAATTCAAAAGGTAATTCTGACAGGATAATGTCAAGCTGGTCTCCGTGACACACTTAGAAGAGACATACTTTGGCTCAATAAGTCGTTCTTTGATGGTCAAAAATTGATGCAGTTTTGATTTCTGTCAGTCGTAGAATTTTTCTTTAGTAGGACTCATGAATTTAGGCGGCTTGTTATTAACTTCACTGTTTAATAAAATTAAAAAAATAAAATAAGGATAGCAATTCAAACACGTGTACCTTCTAAAAATAATGTTTAATAGTAATAAGAACTAATGTCGGATAAAAAAAAAATCTTTCAAAAAAATTACTGATATTTACGTTTCGGGATACGAAACTGAAGCTAGCAGGCATAGATTCGTAGCAGTCTCAAGGAGTAACGTGCTTTCGTTAATTAGTAAATTCAAGCCTCGAGTCTTTATGGCAAATCTGGTAGAATCACACTTTGTCTGAAAAAGTGATTTTGCCTGTGGTAAAAAAAAAAAAAAAAATATGCAAATTTGATCTCTGACTGAGGCTTATTTTTTTCTTTAGACGGCCTTCTCAATTTAGTCAGGTTTTTATTAATTTTACAGTTTGATAAGATATAAATAAAAACAAGGAGTAAGAGTTCAAATACGTGGACCCACTAAAAGTAAGACTTATAGTAATAAAATATATAGTTACCCCTCAAAAAAGATATACATAAGGTTTAAAATACATTTTAATAATCTTTCTTGAAGTTTTTTATTGAGTTGAACTTCAAACTAAAAGATTAAATTTAATATTTCTAATAGACCAAATAATTTGCTATGTTTAAAACTGAATTTAAATTTATTGGAATTATTTTTGTAATTATCAGTAAAATCGTTAAAATCTTTCATATCAACAAATCTGTCAACATGGCATAATTCTCTTTTTAAAAAATCTTTCAAAAATAAAATTTACTATGAATTATGAAAATTTATTTGAAAAATATTAGGTAATTTAAAGTTTAATTAATCTGAATTAAAACAAGTATTACTTTTAGTTTAAAATATCACAGAAACGGTCGGTGTTTTTATAAGGTGTTGACACATCTATCGATAACCGGATGCTTGCGAGATTTGTGTATTGGTAAATAACTTACATGAATAGGACATAAACGCCTTTTTTTTTTTAGATAACTTTAGCTAACCAGTAATTTTTAAAAAATGAAAATATTTTAAGTATTCTAATATTTTATTGAATTTTAGTTACGTTAGTTTACGAGAACACTTGTTGAAGAAATGTTAGAAAATTATGAATATTTACTAAACTAACTGTTCTTATTTTCTAATAATGTTTTACACGGACGTACGTACTTACAAAAACTGACACGTTTATACACACATAAGTGTCTGACACGCCTACATGCTCTTTTAGAAAATGATATATTATATATATATATATATATATATATATATATATATATATATATATATATATTATATGAATGATTGCCCTGAAACGATTTCAGACAATGTCATCACTTTACCCATCCACATATATAGTCATATCGGTTGAAGTCTTTTAGTCTCGCTATGATCTTACATTCTTTTGCACAGATGTGGCAACGTTGGTCACCTCTTGCATTAGGTGTTATAGTAAAGATTTTGTGAATTTCCACCAAAATACACCCATAAATCCATAGGACAAAATACACCCATGAATACATTGGACAGTATGTTTTTAAAATTCTGAATCAGTTTTGTTGTGTATGCTGCTGAGATTAGTTTTCCATTAAAATATTTTTTTCGACAATGTCAGCAAAAGGATGAGATCAAAATGCGAATTACAGGTCGTGGATTCTAAAATCAAACAAGTGCAAATATTTCAATATCTGGGAAGTGCGACACTAAGATCCGAAGACGTATTGGGGTCGCCAAAGATGCATTCCAAAAGCTAAGCAGAGTATTAAGAAACAAGAAAAAATCGTTAGAAACAAATCAAAGAATAGTTAAGTGTTACGTGATATCTGTTCTCCTTTATAGCAGCGAATGCTGGACAATCTCATCAAAGATGAAGAAGAGACTTGAATCAACAGAAATGTGTTTCTACAGGAAGTTGCTGAGGATGTCAAGGACCGAACATGTGTGCAACAGAGAGGTTTTGGAGAAAATGGAAACAAAATAGAAACATATACTTAACATCAGGAGGAGGAGGAGGCAATTGAAATTTCTGGGGCAGGTAATGAGGGGCAGGTAATGAGGAAGGAGAGTTTGGAAAACTTAATACTCATGGGACAGATTAAGGGAAAGAGGAACAGAGAAAAGCAGCGTTTTGCCTTGATCAAAACGAGGCTTTGGGAGAAATAACACAAAAAAAATGTGCTACAAGGGACGAGAAGATGTGGAGGGCCGTGATCGGGACACGGAACGTAAAAGAAGAAAAAGACTAGTAAAGCCATTGTTACGACGTGTTTGTTCAATAGGTAGGGAAATAAAATCCGTTAGATCAACTCTGTTTCCCCCTGTCACGGAATCTCATCGCTTACAAAAATTGGCACGTTTATACACACACAAGTGTATGACATGCCTACAGGCTCTTTAGAAAGTGATATTATATATGCATGATTGCCCTGAACCGATTTCAGGCAATGTCATCACTTTACCCATCTACAAATAAAGACAGTTCAGTTGGAGCCTTTTATTCGTGCTACGATATTACATCCTCTGTCTATATTCCTGAGATGAGGTATTATGTACGTTATTTACATTATTCGGACTATTGTCCTCAACTTTGTCGCCATATTTATTACAACGTTTCGGCCGTTGTATGCCCCGGTCTTCTTCAGGTGGTTGGAATGTCGAACTGAACCCTTTATTTCGATCACTGGGGTAGACTGTTCTAGTTCCACATGCCATGTTTGATGGATGTCAGTTATCAGTTATCTCCTGTTAATTTTCCCTCTGAAAGTTCTCCACTGCCTTAATGGGGTATTGAACTCACACTCTTTGGGTTCTGTCACTGGATCTAACCATCGCCTTTATCCACTGTGCCTAGAATAGTCTACCCCAGTGAGCGAAATAAAGGGTTAAGTTCGACATTCCAACCACCTAAAGAAGGCCGGAGCGTACAACGGCCGAAACGTTGTAATAAATATGGCGACAAAGATGAAGACAATAGTCCGAATAATATAAATAATGATATCACATTCTCTTGCACAGATGTGGCAACATTGGTCATCTCTTGCATTAGCTGTTATAGTAACGTTTTTTTTTTTTCTTTTTTAATTTCCACCAAAATCCATCCACAGATCCCTGGAACAGTAAGCATTAATGGTCTGAATCAGTTTTGTTATGCATGCCACTCTGATTACTTTTGTTTAAAATAAAATAGGTCTTTTCGACAATGTGATTAGGAAAGCCATTGTTTACTCGTGTTTATTGAAGCGGTCGAGAAATAAAGATCGTCGCCATTCGTGCGAGACATTTATCTTAGACGAATTCTGTTTTTCCCTTTCACGGAATCTCATCGCTAAA